CAGCTCAACAGGGCTTCACAAAACAGACTTCTCCTGGATGTTTCATGTTGCCATGGATATGATCAAAACATCAAAGCAGAAAACATTCTGTTAGAATAATCTCTATTCTGGTTAATCAGTGGCTAGAAAGTAATTTAGGACATCTAAAGCATAGGAACCAGGAATTACATAGCCCTTTCCTAAAAGGATTGGAATTTTCTCTGAGGCCTCTAGCAAATACACAAAATTTGGCCATTTTGCCACAGGTTTCATTTGCTTACACTTACTCAGTACTTATTGAATACAGAATATGACAGCAAAGTGTCTGAAAGATCTCCATCCAAATTATTTATGACATGACTATACACAATCAGGTGAAAGCTTCTGTCATATTTATTAAAAAAAAATATGCCAAAGAGAAGCTCCAGTATTTTCCAGCCATACTACCTTTCATTGTAATTTTGTAGCTCCACACAAGCAAAGTTTAACTGCATCTGGTAAATGTCTATGGGGGCAGGATGACTCAGTCACTTAAGTATGTAGCATGATTTCCCCTATTTCTGCATTACAACAACACCCCAGTTTGTAACTTGTAGCAAGTCACAGGGTCTCTTTCAGAGGATATTTAATGTGAGGTTCTTAGTGCTTACTAAGAAGCAATCCATGGCACTTTTCACAAAAGTAGGGCTATTAACCTGTTTGACCCAACCAATATGCATTAAGCACCATGGGAGGAAGAACTAGTTTAGCACTGGCTGAGAAGGAAGACTTCCACCCACTGAACTAAAAACATTACACTTAGCAGTTGCATGAGCAGATATGTACATAGACATATGTGTGTTTTTAGTATATGCATACTAAAAATATACACAGAGTATGTTGAAGAGAAACCAAGGATTAACCTGATGTGATAGCTGTAATTCACCGTGTCTTAGGTTAATCTGTTACAGCATTCAGCAGCAAAACTGACAAGGTGTTACATGATCATGTTTAGTCACATTACGTGTGTTATAAACCAAAGACAGAATTTTCTTTGATGAAGTTTCAGCATCCAGGGAGAAATCCCTAATCTATGACTAATCCCTAATCTGTAGCCTTAAACTGCTTGATTTACACCAGTAGAAAAATGCAGCAGAGGAATGAGACTCACATTATTTCTCTCATCCCACTGTTTCCTCTCTACATTATGGCTGCTAAGAACAACTTTCCTACTTGATATGTTTTTCTTTCTGTCAGCTGCCACCTTAAATTAGCCTTTCTTATGTCATTTGGTAGTTAGGATCGTTGGGTTCATGTCAGGAGATGCATTTAACATACTTCTGATACTCCAGTATAAGCAGCTGTGACATGTGGGCAACTCTGAACATCCACAACCATCACCACCAATTACCCCCTTTATTAATCTAAGCTTGCAGTGGATACCCAGGGAGAATTTCACTGTCAGTCTAACATTTCACAGCTTCCCATGTTTCATGAATATATATGTGCTGTGTTTCACATTTCACTTGTTTGCTGCCCTCCCAAGCACCAGCTTCTTAATATTAGCTGCTTTGGTACTAAGACATAAATCACTTTTTTATGACTGCTGCACCATTTTTCTGCTAACAGCTGCTATATTGCATTAGGCCACATTATATGTGATGAAGAACGACAGAGAGGTGGAGCATGATGTGTGCAGCCTAAGAAATTTATTATGCTATTCAGCTGATAGGCCTATTCATCTTTCAACACTGAGAATACAGTAAGTCCTACTAACCCAAACTAACAGCACTCCAGGAAAATGTTAAGAATGTAGATTATATACAAAATAGTAAACTCTGATATTGTGTATTCAGCTTGGATAATCTAATTCTTGATAATGGAGCCGATATATTTTAGGCATCTGTTACCCTTAGGATGCTTTAATAGAAAGGCATTTATAATTCCATTCCCAAGCACAGCAAAAAACTGTATTGAACAATGAAGCTGTTTAGTTTGTGGTTATGTTTATACAGCTCAAACACACTCAGGACTGCAGGCTGTGGGGTGACAGAGATACCACATCTCAGCTGAAATAACTTATGACTTCCTACCTCAAAATGAACATTCCCTGGACTCACATTTTGGAAGAATGTAAGTACCAACCTAGAACAATGCAGGAAGACCCTAGGGTGTCAGAATTGCTGCTTCCTCTTACCTGAGAAGTCAAGACTCATTCCTGTGTTTGAAGCATCCCATGCCATATTTATAATTTCATGCAACTGGGCTTCTTTGACACCAGCATATATTTTTTAAATGGGCTGTAAAACCTGGCAAATGTGAAAACCTGTTTGAAAGCTCTGACCTCAAACCCATCAGGAGTTCTTGCAGCTATTTTTACTGATTTCTGAAAATGAAATTTGTGAGCAGAATTCTTCCAACAGAAGTAACAGTCATTTCTATAAGAAAAAGCTAAGTAATTAAAATATGTAAATTTGAAGTTATAGTAGAGATTATTTAGGTTATAATAGTACAGACTGTAGAGGATTTCATAGGTGGAACAAAGTTTTAAGAAGCTCTTAAAAGAAATACTGTTCTTTCCCATGCAAAACCCCCTGCAGCTTCTGCAGTTATTGGGAATTCCTTAAATCATAGCATTGAATCTCTGTATTAAGGAATACACAAATTCAAATCTTTACAATTCTAACTTTTCCCTAATTATCTTTACAGCAACCTTCATAGTGTGGGAATACAGTAAACCATGTGGTAATGTTAATTATGTGCAAATGGCAATTGTAAAGGTTTTAATAGTGACCTCTGCAACTAGAAAACTTATTGATCATTTCTAAATGTATAATCACATAATGCTGGCTTAAACACCAAAATCCTAGCCTAGCTTGTACCAAAGTCTATGTAAAACCTGGACTGGACTCCTGAGGAAAAAAAATCTTGTTTGGTTGCTCCTCAAAAAATGTCAAATATTTCCCCCTCTTCCTCAATAAACTGAAATATTAAAAGTTCAACAATGATTCTGAATTATTTGATAGAAATATGAAGAAGTCTGATTGAATCACAAATTCTTACACAGCAATCCACGCTGATTTGAATCTAAAGCATTTGTAAAACAATGACTGGAGAAAGATTTTGGCAGGTGTGAGGTGATGGTCTGTAGTGATGTAGAGTCCCCAGGCAGGTGCAAAGGAGAGGTGAGTAACCCTAGGGTGTCAGAATTGCTGCTCTCTCTTGCCTGAGAAGTCAAGCCTCATTCCATATTGATAACAGGCAGGTCTTGTATTTTCTATCAGGATATCAGCCTTATTGCATGATGCCCTCATTTCTTGTGTGTTCTGAGACCTATATACAATAGCCTTTTGCTAGCTCAAATAGATCTGTTTTTAGTTTGGTGGTAGGTTCTTGTTGTGGGTTTTCTGTGTTGTTTTGTTTAGTTTGGGCTTTTGGGGGAGTTTTTACTGGTTAATTGGTAGGCTGGTTTGGAGTTTTTTTACATAGTCTGTAGACTTGGGAAGCTGGTGAGATCTGTTTGAAAATTCAGAGTGCACCAAAGCACAGATTTTGTGCTTTTCATCTCTGTTACCCAGCAGCACAGATAGACAAGATTTTCTTAAAAATCAAGACTTTTTTTGGTGAGCCACCAATCATTTGTACACAGAGCTGAATAAGCACGGCTCAATACTATGTCACAATACTTAGATAATATCTCAAAAGGGCTTTCTTCTGGCACATGGGAGTTAATGTTCCTAAAATTTAGATTTTTTGCTAAAACTCAAAAGCACATTTGACACCACTGTGTCTGGTCAGCTTTGCTGGCTGCAGTAAACAGTAAATAAGAGCACATTTTTTGTTCTCTTCATCCTTAAAATTAAGTTCATGTGAGCTTCACTGTGTACCAGCATACATGCTCAACAAATATGCTGAGCATTAGAGCATGTTCAGTTTGAGCTTGCCACTATATAGAGGTGTTATCACTCACTCCTTCAATGCAACCATACAAGACATTTTGTTTTGAAGAGGTTAATCTCTGAACGTTATGAAGTGTTTTGAGTGTTAATGGTCTCTGTTGAGTTCTGTATTGCTTTGAGATAGCCCAGCTTATGCATCTGTTTATTTGAACTCAGACTAGCTAATGCAGTTGTTTATTTTTCCTTAACTAGAGAACCAAAATCTTTATTCTATATAGTTTTAACAATCAATTCCTAAGAAATACTTTTTGTTTTTCCAGAATAAGAACTTGGATAAAGTTCTTCACTATCAGTGGGAAGAGTGAGATGATTTTATCCACATTTGGGTCTGATTGTTTTAAAAGTGGAAGAGAAATTACAAAATCTTGTGACCATTACATATGTGCAAAATTATTTGTTTATTTGATTTTTTTAAACTTAGTAAAATGCATTAATTTATTGAAATTTTGTTTGGATAAAACTTTCCCTTGACACTATAGTCTATATATTTTAGTTTGGTTTAGTGCCTGGATGCTTTGTATAAAGCCAAATCCAAAAAGTACATTCTCCAGCTATACCTAAGAAGATTGATAGTTAACCACTTTTTAACCTTTCCAGTTCTATGTGAGGAAGCATCACTGGTCTCAAAAAGATTGCTCTAATTTCCTTACAAGGAGCAATCTTTATTACAGCAGAATTAAACATTTTAGTCAAAGGAAACATTTAGAAATGTTAAGCAGAATCCTATTGATGTTTTCAAACAGAAACTTTCCAGTTCTTAATTTGTACTAAGGGTTTCTTTTGAAATTTACCTATATTTATCTTTAATCAATGTTAAAAAGCCTACTTGAAATGTCTTCTGACCTGAAATGACACTTCTTTCAAATTGGTGTGTTGCGATCTGGCAGTAAAAATGACAAATTTTAATTCTGGGTAGACAATTTTTTTTTTTTATTGTTGTTGATGTTTTTTGTTTGGCTAGCATAAAAATACAAATAAATAAATCCTTTATACAACTCTAGTCTTCAGATATAACTTGATCAGCAAAATTGTCCTTTTATTTTTACCCATGTAAACAACAAGTAACCGTATTTGTTTTCACAGGGTTACTTCATACTTATGCAAGACAAAAACGAGCAAGATTTCCTGTCAAAATAGAAAAAAAAAAAAAAAAANAAAAAAAAAAAAAAAAAAAAAAAAGGTTAAAAAAAGGGGAAGGAAAAGAAAAACAAAACAGTGAAATAGAGCCACATCTCTCCTGTGTGTTGCTCGACTCCAGCTGAAACAAAACTGACTTGAGACTCTGCAGAAGCATAGTTTGGAAGTGAGAAGAATAAATTGAATCCTGCAGCAGCAGAGCAACTCCCCCAGACACCGCACTGGGAGAAATCAGGGGAGTTTCAAGGGGCTGTGGGTGGAAAAGAGGATTACGAAGAGCCAGCGGGACTTGGCTGACCTTTACTAACTTCCTGACCCTCACTTTCCCCCCCTGGGAGCTGGGCTCTGGTCGTGGGAACAACACCTGCCTTCCCCAGCCCTATCTCCACAGGGGCTGCTGCTGCCCCACGGGCGCCTGGGGCTGGGAGCGACCACAGCAAGGGGAAAGCCTCCTGTGCTTCATCAACCCTGTTTCGGGGCCACAGGGAGGAGGTAGCATGAAAAACTTCTGAGGGATGGTGAGCAATGTGGCTCATTGCTGAAGATTTTTTGACACCCTGCTGAGAAAAGTGCCCAGCCTCACCTCCTTGGGTAAGATCTCAGCTGATGGAGTCCTATGGACCCGAGCCAGAAAGACAGCTCACAAACAGAAGCCACTATCAACTTTAACTATGGCCCGTGCTCCAAGGTGTTTTGAGGTGGACAGCAGAAGTTAACCACAATTCTAATTCAGTCATCTATGCCTATACCATCAGTATTTCCCTCACACTCAATGTTTAAAGCATCAGCTACAGAAGTAGGCAGGATCTGAACAACATACATGAATGAATATTGAATACACTTTCTGTATCACACTGTATCTCTCATCGTAGTGCATAGGACTACAGTAAATTATACACATATTTCAATATATGTGTTCTATGGACTAAAAATGTATCTACACTTGGGGCAACACCTGCACTTCTGCAGATTCCTCTGCAGACAGATTTCCATCTACAGTGTTAACTTGTGCACTCTTGAGCATGTGTGTGAATCTGCACACATTTATCTAATGTGCACATTGGCTATCCTTAAATTCCTGTTCAGAGGAAGATCGTTTACCCTACAGTAGTGATAAATCACATACCACTTAACATATCAACACAGTGATCATAAATGGCCCAGCATCCATACAAAACACAGGCTAGTGACATCACCACTAGCAAATATTTTGGCCCTGCAAGGCTGAGTGTAGGCTCAGGGCAAAAGATAAGGGGATTTCTGTTGAAGCGCACTTTTCGTCTTTCTAAGCAGTCATTCCCCTTTTTTTGCCCTTCCAGTTTCTTCCTTTTCTTTCTCCAGCTCCAGCTCACCTTTTCCTTCCTCTGAATAATACAACCATTATATATCTTTCTAAGTCTATCTTGCTGAATCAAATAAACTAATCCATCTCATAACATTACTATAGTGCTTTTTATATCTCTCTTGTGTAATATTGTTCACATTTCTATGACTTACACAGAAATAAAAATTGTATTTATCTGTTTGGATTTTTTTTCCAACAGGAAACTACAAGACTATTTGACATCTTAGACAGTAAAGGCTTGTAAATGTCCAGATACAGGGGAATTAAATGTAGTATAAAAGTGTTGTGTTATACATAGTCACATATATTTTGTGTATGGCAGCATGAGGAGGAAATCAATAAACTCCTCAGCTCTTAGGAACTGTGGGTGCTACAGGTGGAGCAGATAAGGGGAGGAAGCTTGCTCTCTCCTCACTTTGCTAGTGGCAATCTGGATGAATTAGAAAGGAGATAACAGACTTCCAATGTGGACATGAGGAAACTCCCTTAACCTTACAGAGACCTTTATAATTCACTGTTTTATTATTATGTGCTATAGCTATAGCTCTTTTCTTATAAAATGTAGAATGCAATAATGCAAACATGACACAGTCTGAAACATAGAGTTATTCAATTTTGAATTCCACATGAAGGTACTAGAACATGAAGTGGAAAATTATTAATGCAGATAAAAACTGGACAGGTTGATGTCTGCAGATAAGTACAGGTTTTGAGATTAACAGTGAAGCAACTCATTGTCTGAAAAATCAGCAATGGGAGGGAAAGGTCTGTCTGTCACAGTATCAGATCTTGGTGGTTACTGCAATCCCTGTTGGGTAAATAAGATGTGGATCTGTCTAGAACTATGTGAGAAGTGGGAGGAGGAGACCTCCATTCTGATTGTGATCTTGCATCTTGCGACGTGTCCATTTCAAGATTCTTTTACTTGATACATTTCTCTTCACACCTGCTGCCCCCTCCTCATTCTTGAAAGGGCAGAAGGTGGCAGAGATAAGCACTTGTTTGTGGTCCTGCCTGGTTGCATATGAGAGCTCACATAAGGCTGTGGTCATAGGTCTGACCTGGGAATGGTGCTTCCATTGTACAACAGGAGATCTTGACAAAAGTGAGTTGGGGAGTCCCCAAAGTGAGCTGCTTTAAGTGGTAGTTAAGCTAATGCCATAAAAAAGAAAGCTCTTTTTATGAGCCTTTAGTGAGAAATAAAACCAAGTAAGTTGCTGAGATTGTTTCTAAGATGTAGCTCCAATAAGGTGTCATATCTCAATTTCAACAACAACATGGAAACCTGCTGTTTTATTGCAATGTGTTTTTAGAAACTTTGGGATGCTTCAGGTGGCTACAAGTAATGCTGGAGTTTTAAGCAACAAATGCTTGGATGAGCTTAAGCATTCTGGGTTTTCCTGTGCTTAATATGTTGCATTGCTATCTTGATATGTAATGTCACAGATGGTAATATTAGTCATGAAAGAACAAAGAAGCCAAGTCCACAGACAAATTAAGGTGGTGGAAAGGCAGAAAAAAAGAAAGAAAATGGAGGGAGCAGTGAATGCCTACAGCAAACAGATTTTGTTTTAAAGATTCTTCATACAAATTTAACACCTTCTGAAGATCTATGTGTCAGCAACAGTAGCCATAGAAGGCTGTAAATCTTCAACCTGGCTTGTATCCACTGCAAAAAGTAGTGTGGTGAAAAGGAATATTCTTGAACATGAAGAAATGAACTTAATTTAACAATGGGCAGCTCACCCACAAATTCCCATGCAAACCAGTGGTGGCTTTTTTTTTTTTTCTTTTTTTTTTCTCTTAACTACATAGCCCTTTTCCAACAAGAAGATTCAGAATGTTTTCCTGTTGTCTTATTGCACCTCACAAATGTTTTTTTTTAACCATTTGTATACAGTCCATATTACCTATCATGAGGGAAACATTCATAAATCAAATGGAAGTACGAAAAGAAATAATAATGTAGTGATTGAAGGCTAAAGTTAATAGACACGTTATAAAGCCCATGAAATTACATTCACTATGTGGAATTATGGAGAAACTGTTCCAGCTCAGCACACAACATGGTCACTAGGGCTTTTGCTTCCTAAGTTAAATCTTTCTATGAACAGAGGAAGTGGAGCCCATGTTAAATGAGGTAGCAGACCTCTATGAAAGGAACACACCTCTTGAGCAGTTCCTAAAGTTGAATTTGCAATATTATTGAAAAAAATTCAAGTGTAGCACTGTACCAGTGATATTACCCTTTTTATCTGAGTCACCTAAATGTTCAGTAAGACATTGAGAAAGCTAAGAATTGGTCCAAAGCGCTTTGAACTGATACAACTGTGAAATTTTGTGTAAAAGAAGGCAGATATTCCACCGGCAGTAAATGCAAACAGTCTTTCTGGAATTTCAGCTTAAAAACAGATTTCCCACTTTGCTTTTACACTTGTTTGACTTCACAGAGTTTGGAGTACATATCACAACATTTTACAGGAGTTTGATAGTTGAACTCTTAAGAAGGAAGCACAAAAAAAGGTGGCTCACAAGTGTGAATAAGGCTATACAAGAGAACAAATCTATTTTTATGCTGAGATGTAGGGAAAATTTCCAACACTAATTTTATTGTGAAATAGAGTCCTCAAATGACGGGTAGGTGCCCATGAGCCTGAGACAGAAAGTTCTGTATATTGGAAGTACACTTCCACTGGAAGGGGAATGCATCATTTAATAGGTCTTTTCCATTTCTATGATACTATAACTTGGGGTTAATCCAATGTGTAAAGTAAAAGGAAAAATATAGTGAACTTCTGCATCCCTTTCATAAAGCACTTGACCTATCTTGGCATATACAGGCATATATATTGAAACTATTTTGTTTTAAATATTTTACTATTTGGAAGGAGATTTGATCATTCTCCAGAGAATGGAAAAATATAATGAATGCAGAAATAATGGCAAGTTTTACCTTCTCCATTTAATGCTATTTATTTTATAATCCAGATTTGACAGTCTTGCTACCTTGCTTGGATTTCCTTGAAAAAGAAACAGCCAAGTAAGTTGCATTGCACAGGAATCTTCCTTCCATTCATCACATGTCAGTTTCATTCTCTGTATCCAATACTTTTACATATCCATAAAGCAGAAAGTCAGAATTTCATTTATTACTTTGTTTTACGCTATATGTAAGGGGTAAGACAGAAACCTACAGTCACTCCTCAGCTACTGCACTAACTTGAAAATACACAGATGTTTGGCCCATTCAAAGCTTTCTATTTAATTGAAAGTCCAGTGTGTGGCCAAACTTTTTCAGACTAAATACTTTCATTAACATTTAGCAGAGACATATTTTACAGAAATAAACTCAAAGGGTTTACATGGTTACAGTGATTGTTTCTGAGTGATTTTTGGGCAACATAAATGTGGTCTCAGCCTTCCTGAAAAACAAAAATTCAGGACAATTAATCTTTGTTCAGCTGCAAATGTATTGCAATCAGGTAACACAACATAAAAGTCCACTCCATGGGGTGTTTTTTCAACCCTCTAGATGCATAGGCACAAAATTTTACTGTTCAAGGCATTAACACCAGAGGATCCCCTGCCTCCCAACATTCTCTCTAATTTATGTAATCTGCACAGTTGGGCTAACTCTGATATATTTTCCCAGACCAC